CTCTCTCTCTCTCTCTCTCTCTCTCTCTCTCTCTCTCTTTCTTTCTTTCTTTCTTTCTTTCTTTCTTTCTTTCTTTCTCTCTGTTTCTCCCTTCCGTTGCCCTTCCTTCCTTCCCTCCCTGCTTTTCTCGGTCTCTTGCTCTCTTTCTCTCTCTCCTTTTCCCTTTCCTTTGTTTTTCCCGAAATATTTTAAGTGTACGTGCCATTTTCTCCGTAAGTGCCTCAAGAAGGACATTGCCTTGCATGACCCAGTGCCGTTATCCATCCAACACATGAGCAGCACTGGCCCCTGCTGTCCTCTGAGAGCCACCCCACAGTCACCCTCCAGGCCCCCAATGCCTGTGGCTCCTCTTTCCTTCACGCCAGCATCCCATCAAGGACTTCGTTACACTTGACTAGATATGCAGAGGAGACTGGAACAGCCCATGTTCTAGAATGGGCCGGTGGCTTCCTTGTGGTGTCTTTAACTGGTCCCTCTGTCCCCAGTATCCTTTATAAACTGGGTTGAGGGCACAAGGCTGCATTAGAATTGGGCTAAGCTTTGGTAAGAGGCTTGTGCCCTCTCTGTGGTGGCCTGTCACGGCAGGCACGTCTGACCTCTGTCCAGGCATTCGGTTAGCTTTCCGTCTTGTGACCGGCACTAAGCAGGGGAAGACGTTTTGACATCACGTGACTATCCACATTTCCTAGGTCTTTCACCCAGCAGTTTCGTGTCCACTGCACCTTAAGGGATTCTTTCTAGCTGATTCATATAAATTTCTTCATCGGACACATGAGTTTATTTATTCTGGGTTAGTATTGATTGACAGCTCATGACTGGTGATAAGGGACTTTGCAGCAATTTAAATGCTCCAGGACCCTGTCCCCTCACCATCTCTCCTGTAGCATGGATAAGCTGTAGACAGCAGCACAGCAAAAACATTCTCGGCCCGCTTCCCCACCAGCCACTGCCTGGCTCTTATGCTTCCCCACCACTGAATTCTGCATTGTGGTCTCCAGTTGGGTGAGGATAACATCCTTGGAGCAAACTTTCTTTGGCCCCGCTGTTTTCTGGCATTGAAAACTGATGTGGAGGAATCAGACTGTGTCTACCTTGTCGATGACGTGCTCTTCCTGCCCCTCATGGGAGCCCCTGCTCCCTTCTGTCCCCAAGGTGCACACATGGCCTCACTTTCTGCACCCCCAACCGAGCCCCAGCTTCAGCTCCAAGACCGCTGAGCTTGGGCCCATCTGAGGGCCCATGCCCTTAGCCTGCTACTCTCTTTGCTCACTCCCAGCCTTCAGCTCTCAACCTGAGTGTGACTTCTTCAGAGAGCGCCTCTCCCCTAGCTATTGTGGGTCCCTCCATAGCGCATTTTGCTACCTCGTCTTTCTCTTTTCCTTGAGGGTGAGGTTTTTTACAGGTGGAGTGGTATGTGTGTGTTTGGAGTTTTTCTGTAAGAACTGTAACCTGAGAGGGAAAGTGGTCAGCAGTGGAGCTTCCAGAGATGGCTGGAAAGTTGGGGTGAGGGGTGCTGCCCCCATGGGAAGAAGGGAATGAGAAAGAGGAAGCCAGGCCTTGTAGGAGGTGGGCAGGAGTCCCTGTCTGGTGGTCTACTGCCCAGCCAAAGGGAGATGATGGAAGCTCAGTTTGGGAAGGTGTTATGGGTTGGTCTGTGTCCCCCAAAAAAGATGTGTTCAAGTCCTGCCCGCCAGGAGCTGTGAATGGGACCTAACCAGGATGAGGTGGTGCCGGAGTAGGGTGAGCCTCATCTCACACTTGCTTTGTCCAATCCCCTTAGCTTCTCTGCACCCCTGCGATGGCAGCCATTCTCTTGAAGGCCAGACCCAAGGTGAGTGGGGCTCTCTGTCTCCATCTGTCCCCTCATCATGCCCCAGCCTCACAACCCTTGCAACCCTGAGTCTCCCCTTAGCTGCTGAATTCTCTGAGTCCCACCCCCACCCCACCCCACCCCATGTTTGGTTGCTGCCCGCTTGTCCTGGGACCCATGGGGGTGAATTCCCCTGTAGCCACAGAAATGGCTCATTTTAGGTGCCAGTATCTTTTGAAGACGTGTCCGTGTACTTCACCAAGACAGAATGGAAGCTTCTGGACCTCAGACAAAGGATCCTCTACAAGAGAGTGATGCTGGAGAACTACCGCCATTTGGTGTCACTGGGTAAGGATCTCACACACGCATCCAGTCGCCCTACTCTGTCTCTGAATTGAATCACTTGTTGGTTACTGTGAGCCCCAAAATAAGTGCATTTTCCCATTTCAGGAATCTGTTGTGGCTCAGCGTTTGTCTCAGTAGAACAGTTTTCAGCTAAATAGTTTTTTTTTAATGTTTTATTTATTTCTAGGAGAGAGAGAGAGTGAGAGACAGCGTGAGCAGGGGAGGGTCAGAGAGAGAGGGAGACACAGACTCTGAAACAGGCTCCAGGCTCTGAGCTGGCAGTCAGCACAGAGCCCGACGCGGGGCCTGAACCCACGAACCGTGAGATCATGACCTAAGCGAAAGTCAGACGCTTAACTGACTAAGCCACCCAGGCGCCCGTCAGCTAAATAGTTTTGACCTGTAAGTGGTAAACCCATGGGCCCCCATTATAGTTCTTTTGCATATAAAGTCATGAGTTAACTAGACCTCTTCTATCCAAAAGATGGATGTACGTTATCCTTGAATATTTATATGCACTATTTGAGACTTCATCAATTTTGATCAAGGTTGCAGTCATTTCATGCTACGGGGTTTAGCACCTTCTGTTCCTTGTGCCAAGCCAGGAGAAGAGGCCCAGGAAAAGATGTGTATTTGGTTTTCCAGCCTGAATAAGTCCAGAAAGGAGCCGGGGTGGGTTGCTGGCCACCCCCCCCTCCCCCCCCGCCACAGCAACTCACCACCTGTGAGGTTTCAGGGGCCTGTTTGCTCCATTTCTTCTCTCCATATTGAAAATCTATAATCTAACTACACACAGGGAGACTAGTTTCTTCCCCTTGGCTCTTTCTGGCCCTCACTGGGCAGTTCCAGGGCTCACAGGGGAGTTCTGGAATTGTCAGTTGATGCCACATGTCGCACCAGCCTCCTGACCTCCCTACAGGCCAAAAAGTAACACTGTTATCTTGCTGGCCCCAGTCACCACCTACCTGAGGCTCCCTGTGCCCACCTGGCCCCTGTACATCCAAAGTCCTTTGCTTCCTTAAAGGGACTCTGCCCTTTATCCGGACCCTCCCAGTGGCACTGCCTAGAGAGTTCTTTGTTCTCGGTTCTTGAGGATACTGAGGCTGGGCTGAGTTCAGGCGTGACTGATCTGCTTCATTTTCACGGACAGGACTTGTAGCCTCCAAGCCTCACCTGGTCTCCTGGCTGGAACAAGGGGAGGGGTCCCAGGCAGCAGACTTCCACAGGAGAAGGGCTGCCGCGGGGCTGCAGACAGGTGAGTGAGGGCCGCCTGGCCGGCTCGGCTGGCCTCTTCAGCAAGAGCAGCCGCCGGAGGGGGGCAGTGCGGCCACCACGGGTGGGATATTGCCATTTGTGGCAGACGTTACTCTCACAAGGAGTCCCCGTGGAGGCGCCAGATGAAGGGAGCGCCCCCTGCTGTGTCACACCAGTTCCAGTACTTCCAGCTCATTCGCACCGTTTCCCCTCTTGCCCTCCTATCTGCTGATCGTCATCTGGCCTCCTCCCCCGCGTCCTGGTCTCCTGATTCATTCCTTCTCGGCTTTGGTGTGAGGGCAAGGAGGCACAACAGACCCTAAATAGAGCTCCAGGGAGAGGGTGACACTGGTTGGAGTTCTCTGTCTTTCCAGGTGACAGGATAAAGAACGGGGCGTCGATTTCAAAGCAGAATCATTGCGTCAAAGAGCTCACCAGGACTGATCTTCAGGCGGGTGACAAGAGCCAGGTAGCCGGGCTGCGAGGGGAAACACTTGATCGCACAGGGCAACATGCTTATTCCCCACAGACAGGTTCCAGCAGGGGTGACCATCCCAGGGAGAGAGGTCAAAGCGGCTCCTCAGGTGAGGGAAGAGAGCTGAGGCAGAGAAGTAACGACAGCGGTAGGCAGGATTCTGGTCTGAGGCCGCAGTGTTCCACGGGCACTGAGAAGCGGTACCTGTGTCAGCAGTGTGGGAAATCCTTCAGTCGCAGCTCCAACCTCATCAAGCACCGGGTCATCCACAGTGGCGAGAAGCCCTACGAGTGCTCCGAGTGTGGGAAACTCTTCCGGCGCAGCTTCGCGCTCCTGGAGCACCAGCGCATCCACAGCGGCGAAAAGCCCTACGTGTGCGGCGAGTGCGGCAAGACCTTTACGCGCAGCTCCAACCTCATCAAGCACCAAATTATCCACAGCGGCGAGAGGCCCTACAAGTGCTCGGAGTGTGGGAAACTCTTCCGGCGCCGCTTCGCGCTCCTGGAGCACCAGCGCATCCACAGCGGCGAGCGGCCCTACGCGTGTGGCCAGTGCGGCAAGGCCTTCAGCAGGAGCTCCAACCTCATCGAGCACCAGCGCACCCACAGCGGCGAGAAGCCCTACGCTTGCGGCCAGTGTCTGAAGGCCTTCAAGGGCGTGTCCCAGCTCATTCACCACCAGCGCATCCACAGCGGGGAGAAGCCATTCGCGTGCAAAGAGTGCGGGAAGGCGTTCCGGGGCCGCTCGGGTCTCAGCCAGCACCGCCGGGCGCACAGCGGCGAGAAGCCCTACGAGTGCAGCGAGTGCGGGAAGGCCTTCAGCCGGCGCTCCAACCTCTTCAAGCACCAGGCGACTCACGGCGGCGGCGGCGGCGGCGAGGAGAGGCCCTGCGGGTGTCCCGACTGCGGGAGGGTGTTCCAGAGCCGCTCCTCCCTCCTGCAGCATCGGCGCACCCACGGCGGCCAGAAGCCTCGTGCGTGCGACCAGCGCGGCCAAGCCTGTGAGGGGAAAGGGTGCCTCAGCCACCTCCGCAGAACCCGTGCTGGAGGGAAGTCCTCGGCGAGGAGTGACGGGGAAAAGGCGCCGGCCTCTTTGTGCACGAGGTCGAGAGAGTCCGGGGACACGGCGCACGCGCAGCCTGCCGGTGCGCCTCTGGGAGAGGGCCCGCTTTAAAGCGTGGGGCTTCTCGCTCCCCTCCCTTTGGTCGCTGATGACGCGACCGAAGCACAGAGACCTCAGAGCAGACCCATTCTGTGCTGGAACTGCCCAGACCGCCCCTACCCCACGCGGGTCAGCGCCGCGCCCGCGAACAGGACCCTGTCCTGGGCGCCACCGCCTCCAGTGAGGGGCGAGTGGTCTCTTTCCTGTCGTGGGACCATTTGCTTTGCCCCAAGACTTCTTGGTGTTTCCAGGTAGAAGCACTAAAAGCACTTTAATCCTTTCAGAGATCATCGGTGGAGGGGACATGAGGGAATTCTACAACTAGACTGTGGCCCAACCATGACATCACCTCAAATTCATCAAGAAACAATCTGAAAATGGACTTGGGTGAACACATTCGTGGGCTGCTCGTGCCCAGAGGTCCAGCTGCAGGAAGCAACGTCTCCTCGCTGAGCCTGCTGCTCCATGGGAAGAAACAGGACACCATGCCATCTCCGTCCAGGAGCAGCACCCAGGTCCCATCTTCTGGAAGCCCTGAGGCAGGGCAGGGGAGTGGGGGGACACTCCAGTCCCTTGCAGGAGCAGGCTCTGCGGAGGATCCCGCACCAGCTGCCCTGCTACCATCCTGCCCTCCTGCCCAGGCCCCCAGGCTCACCCTACTCACTGCCGTCTGCCCCCCCACACCCCTGCAGCAGAGGCCACCCCTCTGGCCTCTCAGACCCTCCTCCCCACCCTCAGTGCCTAAAACTTCACGCTTAGCTGTTCCCCCTCAAGCAGCCACCTCTTATGGCTGGTGCCGATCAGGAAGCAAACGAGATGGGTTCAGAATTTGCACAGTAATGACTCTCTCATTGGACTTTTTGTATGACATTTCCTATAATATTGCAGGTTCAGTTGCTTTGAATATTTTTGCATTGAGGAGTAATGTAAACTAGAGATTTTTGCCATATGAGGATGTTGGTGAATCGCTCCTTAAATGAGAATCTCATCAACCCTCTGCGAAGACCTCAGGCAGGAGAAACAAGCACCGATTGGTGTGGTGGCGAGCCTGGCCACTCATCTCCCTCCTCCCCCTTAGCTCCACAGAGACAGGGTGGCCCCTTCACATGGCACTTTACTGCAGCCTCCTGCTGGCCAGGGGGTGGTGGCTGCTGGCAGGCTCTGCCCTATTCTGTCCGTATTGTCCCCAGAGCCCGGCTCAGGACCTCAGCCCCTGGGTGCTCTCAGCCCAGCATCCTGGTTGGCTTGCCACCTCCTTCCAGCCTTCTTCACTGCCAGGACCTCTGGCGGGCACTGGTGGGTATGCTGGACGCCCCCCATGGGCCTTGGAGGATCGTGTGCACCTTCCCTGCCACACAGCGGGAGGCTCAAAGCGCCCTCAGGAGAGTGTAGGGAAGACCTGAAAATACAGGATCCCTTCCGAGCATGCTTCTTGGAGCTCTAATCACTAGGACAACTCCAGAAGTAAGAGATACAGGTAGACACACATTGATAGCTATATTAAGATGATTAAAATGATTTTTAGACACTTATGACTTATGGAAAGTTCTAGAGTTCTTGTAACTTGCTTTTATCTCAGAGTCCATTTCACGGGGTCTCCATTCCCTTGTCCTTTGGTTGCCTTCTGCTCTTTGTGTCACATGTTTGCTGGCACTTCAGAAACATGAAGTATTAGGGACACTGTCTTTGAAGTCCAAGGACAGGGCATTGGGAAGTATGTGCTTTTATGAGGCGCACACAATCTTTGCCAGGGCTGGGGTGGATTCAGGAAACCAATCCCAGTGCAGAAGAAGAGACAGTGGCAGGAGGCCACGCACTTGAACTCTAGTCTCATTTGGTTCAACCATGGCCTGACCGGCACTGGGACGACAACTGCCACATGGTGGGAACTAGAAAGAGATCACATTCATAGGCTCTGATGTCTGTTTCCATCACTGTAGCAAGTGAGCAATATCAGCTGCTGCAGGCCAGTCAGTAACCAGCTTCACTAAAGAAGAGTTCTAGCCCCCAGTGGAATGCCCTCCCATTGGTTGTACTGGATACGCCACCTTGATTTTCAGCATCAACTCCTTTTGTCGCCTTGGGATCCGTTCCCAAAGACGACTAGATGCAGGGGGCTGATGCACAGGTGTTTTCAGCAGAAAGTGGATTTGCTGGGAGAGATGCTGGACACTTGTGCTCTGGTTTGGAAGTGTCCTGAAAGGCTCCAGGATCCTCAAATGCTTACCCAGATAAATGACCTTTAAGACAGCAACGCATCTTTTCGTCGGTTCTGTCTATAATCACGAGATTTTCACTGTGCTGCAATCGTTAGGATCCCTTCCGTGCCATGTGGTGATCAGGTGCAACGTGAACTGAACAGGTATTGCGTGGAATAAAAGTCCGAGTGTCCAGAGCGGGTGCTTGCCTTTTTCCTTCTAATGTGCTCTGGAATTGGGCTCCCACACTCTGTGTGGGGACAGCGTTGACGGCCCACGCTTGCTTTCCGGGGAACAACTGGACATAAAAGCTTTCCAGCATCCTTCCCCCAAGAACTACCCTGGACGCCGGTCCCTTTGCACTTCTCGACCAGTCTGCTTCAGAGGTGGCCCTGTAAGACACTGTCAGCGCATAGTGCCTCTTCCCTTTAGACCATTTGCCCTGGGAACTTGGCAGACTTGTGAAGAGCTGTTTAAATGCTGTGGCAGTGCCTCCGTGTAACTGGTAAACTGCCCTGACTACATTCATTTACTTTGGGTGCAAACAAATGAAGGTCTAAGAGTACTGGCCTTAAAAGCAGCCCTCTCATGGTGTAAAGTAACCACGTGGCGGCTGGACTAAAGGTCCCAGGAAAGACTCTTAAGTGTGGAATTGTGGGGAAAAGCCAAGACACTGTTTAGGCGAAGGTAAGACAGAAACCCTGGGGAGCGAGACGCATGGGAATCAAGGGCAGCCACCCCAGGCCGGTGGGACACCGTGACTCAGGGACCAGGAAGGGCAGAGAAGCGCACGAGTCCCCTGAGAGACAACAGCTGTGTCTTCCCTCCAGTTGCATCTGCAGGCAACATGGCAGCACCCACACTCACTCGAGCGGGTGCCCTGTCCAGCCCCATGGCGGCTTGTAGAGAGGGAGGCTCCACCTTCACCCTCCCGTGGTTTGCTCTGTGCAGGGACGCCAGGGTGAACACCTGTCTGTACTGTAGGCCTGGAAGCCCCTTCCCCTGGTCCTGTGATCTCTCCACCTCCCTCTTCCCCCAGCTCTTTCCTCTGTCCTTTATCTCTGATAGCCGTTGAACCACCACATCCGGTCCGCTCTCAGTCGCGTTGCCCCAGCTGTGCCTGCCTGAGTGCAGCCGTGTTTGAGTGCGGGGGCGGCCCGTGCGATTGTCACCCAGCTGACAGCAGCATCCATGTGTGGGGCTTTACGTAGGCCTGGGAACATTGCTCTTTGCAGACACGGACCGTGTCTGGAACCTTGCTCAGTTTGCCTGCAAGACTCGCTCTGCCTTGCGAAGCTGACAGGTGCTCCAGACACAGAGGTGAAAGCTGTGTTCCCGGGGACTTGTAGGGCTGTAATCCCAGATTTGCCCCCAAGGGAGAAGAAAAACTGGCCCGGGAAGGGGGCTTTCAAGATTCTGTTGCCATTGTCGCCAAACACCCTTAGCTTCTAAATGTTTGGTTTACTCTGTGAACCTTTCAGGATGGGCCAGGACCTTCACTCATTTCCTCAGCCGGAGGAGCACAGCTGTGGATGCTAAGGGTATGTCTTGTTACGCGGCAGAGATGACAAGTGGCGTCTTGAGGCCAGAGCAAGAGCAAGGAGTAGGGTTGCTGTTGGCACAGGAAGGAGAGGCCGAGGGATTTCAGGCAGCCCGTGGTGTGGTCAGGAACCCTCGAAGGGAAGAGGGATTTCTGGAGGACAGTTGCGGGGTAGATGGTCATGAGAAGCAGAATGCAGAAAGCCTGGCATGCCAGATGAAGAACTCTCATCTCTAGCCGCCTCCTGATGAGGAACAATTCTTTTTTAACATGAAAGAATTATTCTAAGATTGAGGAGGGGACGTTAGTGTATATTATAATGGCTAGAGCCCGTGAATTTGATGGATGGCCACCAAATATACACACTACAGTCAGCCAGATGTTTCTGATGTTCATTAAGTGTGGGCCCATGACGCTTTGACATGAGCACCTCAAATGACATTCTCAGGAATTGCCACCTGCCGTGGGATCACTCGGTTGTTTGCTCTCACACGACTACTGATGTGTCTGTGACTTCGCAACACAGGGCACCTCCAGGATTTGGAGGTCGCCGATGCATCTCTCTTCGATGGCCTTCTGTGGACGTATGATTGTGCATGGACCACAAGACCTGTTGAATGCTGGCTGGTGGACATTTGGGTTACTCCCAGTCCGGGGCCGTGACAAATAAAGCTGCTATGAGCATTTGCGTGCGGTTGTTTGTGTGGACGTGTTTTCATTTCTCTCGGGCATACAGCTAGCAGTGGGGGTGCGCCGCCTTACATCCTCCTCATCGCTTGTCTGTCTTGTTTATTTTAGCCACGCTGGGGGGTGGGGGGGGTGAGATCGTATTTAATCATTGTTTTGATTTGCATTTCCCTGCTGACTAATGATGTCGGGCATCTTTTCATGTCCTTCTGAGCTTTTCATGTCCTTCATATCTTCTTTGGTAAAGGGTCTGTTCAAATCTTTTGCCCATTTTTAATTGACTTGTTTGTCTTATAATTTAGTTGTAAGCGTTCTAGATACAAGTCCTTTGTCAGATATGGTTTGCAAATATTTCCTTCCAGGCTGGGGCTTGTCTTTCTATTTTCATAACGGTGGGGTTTTGTTTTTTGTTGTTTGTTTTTTTGAAGAGCAGAAGTTGGTTTATTTGATGAAGCCCAATTTCTGGATATTTTTAATTTTATAGTTTGCACAGTTAAGAAGTCCCTGCAAAACTCGACTCCCTATGATTTGATCCTCTGTTTTCTTGTAGAAGCTGTATGTTTTTTGCTCCTACATTTAGGACTACA